TATTATAGTCTTTTTAGAATTGCGTGCCGAATTGTTTTTCCGGACTATAAACGCAATTAAAACTACTTTAGTAATCGCGAATTAAATTGACAAGTAATTTAATAACCATTAAACCTCGGTGATCTGATAGCTTAGGACGCTCATACGAAATACAAGAGATCCAGGTTCAAGTCCCGGCCGAGGTAATATTTTTCGCAATAAATTTTAAGTTTCAACATATTAACATCTTTACAATATGATGCTTGATGGTAGCATCAAATTATTAAATTGCTTGTCAATTTATTTCGCGATTACTAGAATAGTTTTAACATAGTTTTATAGTCCGGAAAAACAATTCGACGCTCAGTTCTAAAAAGATTACAATATGGTATATATGCAAGTATATATATAGTGTATATTAGTAATTCAAGATTGAATTATTTAAAAGCAATGAAGATCCAGCTTCGACCATATAATAGGCATTTTTCTAGTATTAACTCGCAAATGTAATTGCAATTATATAGTAAATATAACTATTTTTTAACATTCGCTTACTATTTAAATGGTAATAATAATTTAAAAATATATTAAGAAAAAACTGAAGATTTTTAAGCAGTATGACTACATTAATAGTACAATTGATCCTATGTGTATAGTCAAACAACAACTGTAAATACATATATAGTAGTTGTTCCAAAAAATGATTGTAAATTGTAATTAAATTATACTAATTGCAACTTTTTTTCTTTTAGTATTTATTCTATATATATATATATATATATTATATATACGTATATACATATATATATATAAAATATGTGTGTGTGTGTGTGTGTGTGTATTTTTATACTTACTTGTCGCTGCAACAGCAAGAACGAGGATAATTGCATGCTTCATTGCGAGTAACTGACGCAAAGATGTTGCGCTTGCCAACTTAAATCAATTTCTTCCGTACTAAATAAGAAAAAAAGAATCATTAACTGGTCTGTAACGTTTTGCACGATTTGTATAGCAATCGACAAAAATATATTTCAGAAAATTAAAAAATGTACGGATTAATATGTAATTAAAAAAAAAAAACAAATTTTATTGGATTTGAAAGGACCCTTCAATTATACATTTTTATATAAAAATGTTTTTAGTTAAATTAGTTGAAACTATGATGTTTTGTAGCTGAGAACATGCTCTAATCAAGTCTAAAAAGTCCCTATAATTATTTAAAAATGGATTTACAGATTTTATTGCAGCTTCATTTGAAAATTTTGGACTAATTAAATGAATTTGTTTCCTGAATACCTTGATCTGTAGTACATCGTTTATTTTTTTTTAACTATATAGACCTTTATATATTTAACCATATCTGTATTTATACTTATATGTATAATAAGTAGAAATATAATGAATAGAATGGCCTTTGCGATGTAGATACAAGGGAAGTCCGAACAAAACAAACGCTCTGGAGAAAGCAAATATTTTTTATTTTTGCTTATCTGTTTGAGATAGTACCATGAATCTCTAACTATCGAAGAAATAACCGACCGGCTACGTCATGAAAATGCAAAACATATGATTATGCTCATTTTGTGTTTGATAGAGAAATAAAATAAATTGTGTGTTTTCTTGTGATTTTTGCAAGGTACGTAGTTTAATTATTAGCAATAACTATTTCTTAACCAATGTGAATGATTCTTTGTAAGAATTCTCTGACTTTAAATGTGTATTCAGGGTTAACATTTTTCACTTGTTATTTAAACTTATTCTAACTTTTCCAAATTTGCGCCAAGTTCTTTGGGCAAAGCGAATGGCTCATCCTCTTTATCCAGTATGTAATTGCACTGAAAATACCGGAAAAGGGAGAGACTCTTTTGAGTGAACGAAAGGCACATGATTGTTTACATCTCACTTTTGTTTTTTTTCCACAACGCAGTATGATATGTTCTGAAAAGTACACCGATCCATCATTCGAAGACTAGAGATTTGTTCGCATCGTATGAGTGCATTGGAGTGAGTAGGAGCTATGATAGGAGCATATTGGAGCATGTTGGAGCATGCGACACGAACAAACCTTAGATGCAGTCTAATGCAGTCAGTGTACCAAATGGGTCATGAAAGCTGCTCTAGATATAAAGAATCAGATAGCTACTTTTGTGATGACTGCCGACGCTGATTTTGATTTTTTTAATTCCATCATTATTGCTCGAGTGACCCTGTTCATTTTACTCAAGGAGGTCGGGCAAAGCGGATGGTTTCTCTTTTTTTACGTTTTGACTAAAAAAATATTTAAATATTAAAGTTTTTTAATTTAATTTAATTTTATTTCAAAGTTCCTTCCATTAATAGAATTATTAGAATAAAAAAGATTTCTGATCTTAATTTTAACTGTGTCATTTATCTTCCCAAACTTTAACACATCCGCTTTGCCTGGACTTCCTCTATACATACTGAGAGAAAACGAAATAGTTATTGGCAATTATAATAATTTATAATAATTTATCAATTTTGAAATTATAATATATGTAATTATATATAGTTTTACAGAGCAATAGCAATTAATGATATTCAACATTATAAAAATATAGTTATGGCAATAATATTTGTGTACTATTAATTGATTGCGAAATAGCGACTCAACTACATTAAATAGTTATTTAGATCTAATATACATATAAGATATAACAAATTAACAAATATATTTTTCAATAATTAAGATTAGAAACATATTATATAATATTTTTCTAGTTTTAGATAATATATTTTAAAAATAAAACATAATGTTTTAGTTTTAAGAACTAATTTATAATCATTGTTGAGATAATTTTAAAAAATACATAAAACTTTTTACTAAAGTCGCTCACTCGCGACCAATACATTACCAATACTTCCATCAGAGATGCAGTGAAGTTTAATTTTTCCTAACAAAAAAAACCACTCAGCAATAAAAGACGTAGCATTATAAGACTTTTTACTGATATTATAATAAAATGGTTCATTTAATTCAAAGACAAAATTAAATGAGAAATAAATTTCTGGAAAAGTTTATTAAAATTTGATATCGTTACAACAATGTGTAACAAAAAATTTTAATAAGAACAATAAATAAATTAAATGGACTAAGAAAATGTAGTAATATTAATCATTTGTATTATAGAAAATGGTTACTATTACTATATTTTCTTAGTTTATAGCTTATTTATTGTTCTTATTATAACTTTATGATACATAATCGAGACGTTATTTGTCCTGAATTTCTAGTTCCTGATATGATTTTTTTTATTGATATACATCTATTCCATTTCTCCTCTCGCGCACGTATACTATGACATAAACTTGTTTAATAATTTGATCACATGTATGATTATACGATATCCGTGATTAACTGTATAAATGCTTATGCAGTTAACAAAATAAATATATACTGTCCATAATAAAGATGTTTTTTTCAGTATAATTTGATTTAAAATAATTTTCAAATTATTACTACAGCAAAATCTATCCATTTATTATAATTATGCCTATAGAGATTTTTTATTAGCATCTCATAAATTACAAAATATCACAGTTTTAAATAATTTAAATGAAACCATTTTTCATATTAGTATGAGATTCCCATGCGAAGTTTTTTAATCTTCTTCAAAATAAGCTTAGTCTGCTGTAATACACTTATTATTGGTCCATTTCTGCTAAAAATGATTCTCAAAATTGTTTTTCAAGGTATTCACAAACGTTCTCCTCAAATTTTGTTTAATATTTCGATATCATCAAACTTGCGTTTCTTTAAATTTTTTTAGCTTTGGGATAATTGTATAAATAAAGAAGCGCACAAAACTAATTTTAAATCGATGAATATAAAAGTTGTTCTTATCTCGTCCTCAATAAATATGTTGAACAGATTGAGGTAAGTGAGTGAATGCATTATTAAGTATTTATATTCGCTTATTAATAATAAAGCTATCCTGAAAATTTTGTGCTATTATGCTCATATATTATTTTCAGCGAATCAAATATTTACCAATTTTATTTTTACCAATTTTGAAATAAAATTTAATGCCAAAATATGTTGTTGCTCAGTACACATTGTTTTTTAATATTGCAAAAATTGTCACGAAAAAAATATTTAATTAATTTTTTATTAGTTTACTATACAAACTGATAATACGCAAACACGCCAATTTAAAAATATCATTTGTCCAAATTTGCGAACACCAACTTGTGCTATCATAATGACGAGTGTGCGGGAATGCACCGCGCGGAAAGATTCGAATGAGAGAACGGCACACGGTTGATATGATACACGACAGTAAAGAGAACTCCGTTTCTTTGTAATTTAACAAAAGAATTTTTCTTTAATATGCTCAGTTACAAATTCAGAAAATATAATTAATTAAATATTAGATTAACAGAATATTAAATGCGGTCACCTTTTCCAAATTGTATTTGGAATCACGGTGATGGAAAATCTCGGCGATTTTCTCGGCACTTCTCGAAAAGATTCGTTTTATAGCGGTTTTCACTAAGCGGTTAGCACGGCGGTTTTACGAAGCGATATAGTAGCGAGACTATGACTCTAAGAAGTCTAAGAAGGAGGAACGGCGAGAAGCATTTATTGCTTTCGGCCTGGGCTTTCTTCTTGGGAGAAATCCAATAAAATTTTTTTGCCACAATCGTAATTATTACGTGGCATTGGTTGTACAAAATTGATTGGCGCTTTGAATTCTTTTCTAACGACGTTCAACGTAACAGTCATGCGCGACAGAAAATCCGTGCGTGGGATTGGTGACGTATTCGTCGGAGCGCGGCGCTCGCGTGCGCGAATTGAATTATTCTAGAACTTTCGATTGTCCGTTGCCGGTGCCTGTTTGCGTGTATCGAATTGTTTTGAAAAGACTAAAGAACGACGAATCCCTGATTTTGACGAGGCTTAAGATCAGGCTCGAGATGAAATCACGAGCTCACCTTATGCGTGCGTTCAATAACAATTACTGTCGGTCGATCGAAAGAGTTCTTACTTTTTTCCGAATTACCGATCTCAAACAACGAGCATTTATGATATTTTTTTAAATATATGAGGGGATGATTTAAATATATGAATGAAATTTTTTTGTATAAATCAACATTGATAAATGTACTTATTGACAAGTGAAGGTGTCTGTTCAAGTCCTACACAATAGGTTCGTAACAGTTATTTCCGTAGTTCTTATAATGCTGTTCGAAAAGATAGTAGCGAGTAGCGTTATGCAACGCATAGTGCGAGTTCATGAGTTTATCTAATTTCTTGCAAAAATTACAAAATATTAAAACTGTCGAAATATTGTGTATGTACGGTTTGAAAAAAAAAACGCTTTCAAAGTGCAGCACTCGGTACTATTTGTTTAAGAAACAATAACTACAGAAATAACTATAGCGAATCCAATTGTATGGATCTGAATAGACACCTCCATTTGTCACTCACAAGTATAAAAATCTACCAACGATTTGTACTTACACAAAAAAAGGTCTTATTCATTTTGAACTACTCCTGTATACTCATATACGTATGTATGTATATATATTATATATACATATATTAGGTCGGAGAAAAAGTTTTTTTGTATTTAAAAAAATTTTTTTGCAAAAAGTTTTTCATTTGTTGCAAAATTTTATAATTATATCATTCGCTAGAGCAAAGTTTCAGCTTTAAGAATCTGTTTTTTAAATTGCGGATGATTTTTATCGGAGTTATAAGCAATTAAAGTTAGAATGCTCCTTTACTTAATTCACAAATAACTCAATAACAAAAATTCATAGAAATATTTAAAAAAAAGTGCTTTTGTAAGGAAAGCGTCAAGCTTTCACGATAGGTAGTCGAAAACTTTCGTAAATTTTTTTTTAACATGTGAGAGAACTCTAAAGTGAAAAGAAAATTTTTCATTTTTTTCAGCTTGTAGTTTTTTAAATGTAAAAATTATCAAACTCAC